AGTCTCCACTAATCAGGGATAAAAACATCCAAAATGATTTTTGGTCTTTTTCTAGAACAATTCAATCAAAGTGTCGCAGGACTTTTCGAACAACCTAATATTCGCGTGAAAGAGGAAACTCAGGAAAATCGATGAGCACCGGGAACCTGAATAATGTGACACTTCATGCGTTCAATTGCACCTTTTACTTCTAAACTTTGAATTACTGATTAGAACGAATAACAAGGGCTCATAATACATTTTAATAGTTATACTTCAGCGAGCGGATTGCATGCTAATTGAAAAGGGAAACGTACATCGGTAGGCATTTCGGTGCAGGTAATGGAAACGAAATCTGCTCTTTTACTGAGCGATTCAAACTGCCCTGTATTGGCCGACTACACATTGTATCTATATCTACAGATTTATGTATTGTATGGGCGTAATGGCGCGGACCACACCCCTGCTGCAAATAGAAGCCTGTGCTAAGTAGTGCACGATCCCAAGCCTTGCTCTATCTGCTACGATTCGATCACTACATCGCCGTATGAGCAGCCCACTATTGAAAACGCTTCCGTTAAAATTATGGAGCGAGCCTGGCGAAGCCAGGCCAGCTCGGCGAAGCCGGGCTAAAGAGAAGGAGAGCTCGGCGTTAGCCGGCGATCCGACTGGTACAAGAAATAATCCATAAACAATATCACAAAGATTGACGTATATGTGCAAAACCGGAAAGTAGGGTACGGGAACAGATGCTCATCTCTCGAACGTGGCCACGAAGCTAACAATAACTGACTAACAATTGAACGACCTGATAATATGTTTGAGCTACTTATTCCACATGTTTTCGTATGTTCGGAAATAAAAATCATTCTCTGCCATAGGACGGTAGCTTGACCAAAGATTTGAGCTTGGATTCTTTCAGTTGGCGTGACCATCGTATCGTGAACCACATCAGGATCGGCGACACAACTGTGTAGTAAGGGATGGTCTGAAAGCGCTTCAGTACATACGTCAGAGAGAATTTCACTCATTGACTTCTCCCGTTTTTACGCTGTTCCGATCCTGATCGCTCCTTTACCATGAAGGAACAGTTTTTGAAACGCTTGTATTATCGTCGAATTGATCATGACCTATTGATCTGATCTAATCGTTCTGCTGATAGATTGAGGATAGTCCCCCTTATCCTTAGAGCATGCTAGTACGAAGTTATTTTTCCATTATTTTCCTTAAAGACACATGGTACGCTCAACACATTGAGGGTGTATGAGACTATCAGCCCCCAGCTGTCGATGTGTCGTGGTCCCCCGCCCAAAACTGCACGGGGTCAGAGTACGGGGCCGTGGGAAAGTCGTAATTCCTTGCTACACCGCCCATTTCGCAAACTCTTTATGCTAACACCGTCCGCGCGGCGCGTGTCGCGTGCAGCTCTCTTGGCTTTTTGCCAAGTCCTGTAATTGCGCTTCAAATACAAGTAAAACGCAATTTCCTGATGCGGATAACATTGGAGGTGCTACAAAATAAGAACAGAAGATGATGACGAGGGCCAGAACTCAAGAGCAACTCGGCTGCATCTGCAATATCCCTCGGAGGCCGCGCATTCCCACAAAACATGAAAATAAAAACGGCCTAAGCGTCCCACTCGTTAGTTTGAAGTATTTCTATAGCTTTAGAGCCGGATCGCAGAAATGCACACGCGATTTTAATTTATTTGCGTTTCCTTAGTTTTTTCAATTTTGTTTTATTTACATCTACATTCGTTGTTCTTCATTTCTAGCCTTTGTCATCTTCATCACCTTCTATTCGGACTTTGAAGCATGAGCAATACCTCAAATGTTAGGAAATTGCGTTTTGCTTGTATTGTCATGTTTTATTGTCATGTTCTGTGGGAATGCGCGGCCTCTGAGGAATATTGCAGAAGCAGCACAGTTGCTCTTGAGTTCTGGCCCTCGTCATCATCTTCGGTTCTTATTTTGCAGCACCTAAAATGTTATCCGCATAAAGAAATTGCGTTGTACTTGTATTCCAAAGCGCAATTACAGGACTTGGCAAAAAGCCAAGAGAGCTGCACGCGACCGCGCCGCGCGGATGGTGTTAGCATAAACGTGAGGGCGGTGTAGCAAGGAATTACGACTTTCCCACGGCCCCGTACTCTGACCCCGTGCAGTTTTGGGCGGGGGACCACGACACATCGACAGCTGGGGGGCTGATAGTCTCATACACCCTCAATGTGTTTGAGCGTACCATGTGTCTTTAATAGGCACTCACGTATACAATGGCAAGTAGAGTCAGAACTGTGAGGATGTCCATCTTGTCAAATAGAAGCGGGAACACGGTCGCACTTATAGAGAAGATCAGATTTGAGATCGTTTGAAATACAATCAGTGGAAGGATGATACGTATTATCGTAGCATTTTCGCTGAGCTGATAGGATGACTTGAGATTGAACCGTTTTCTGAACAAGGAATTCATTTGCAACTGAGTGATAATGCGCAGATTCATCAGTGTGACGCTAATCGCACTCACCTTAATCGTCCACGTTTCGCTTTTCATACATTCCCTACTTTTGGTTCATTCCAAAGTAGGGTACTTCGCAACCACTTCGCAGCGCCCTAGAGAAAAGCGCGCGTCGCCAATGCGCAACAAATGTTTGTGTGGTGGTTTGAACCGACGGCTAACAAACGAGCTTCCCGTGTTGCTGTATGCAACAAAGTCACATCTACGCAGTTTCATTTACCCCGCACGAAGAGATAGATAAGCTCAAGCGCCTTATCGACCGAAGCGTACGTCTATGAACTAACGTAGGGGTAATCTACTTCTCCGTCTTTTGTTCTGCTTCCTCCTTTCCTTGGAGCCAGACCGTACGATCAGAAGTCGCGAACGAAATAGGGATGTCAAAGTGCCAAGAAGCTTACTAGCGAAGGTAGGAAACAGAAAAACCGTCGCGGTTGCTTGAAATAGGATTCCTTCAGGAGCAGTCTTGTATGACATAAGGTGAAGGTGTGGTCGGACGAGATCATCGAACAATAGTGGCATGATCGGCAACGGCCAC